AATAATTTAATAATGCCTTTCAGAAAACAAGGGTCCAATCTTTAGAGAGGCGACGTAATAATCAACACCATCATATCTACTTTATTCGCCAACGAAATCAGTCGAAAAGATCATCATGTCTTACAAATATGAAGAACGTGTGGCGAGACTTTCTAAAGACGATCTTTACATGGCATTGGCTCTTTGGATGGAGGAATTTCCAGATTTTCAAGAAAAAGATGATGGCTGCAAAGGTGTAGGAGTTCTGTTTGTTCTCCCAAGCGATCGAGTTCTAAGCGTCGACTGCAGTCGCGATGGCGTCCATGGAATTGCTCGAGTGATCGTCAAACACTGCGCGGATAGAGTGGAAGGCTGCAAAGTTTTCGTCTCTCGAAAACCGTGTTCTATCTGTACCAAACTTCTTGTACAAGCGAGAGTTTCAAGAGTCTTCTACTTACCAATTATGCCAGAAAATACAGACAAGAATGACCTGGCAAATGTCGATCGTCTCTTCAATGCCAGCCCTGTTGCACAGTCTAAGTTTGTTCCCCATGTTGGTTGGTGAGAGTTTATTAGATAAGATAATGGAAAGGGAGAGTAAAGACACCGATTTTATTGACTCCTGCCAAACAGAAATTTTCAATAAATGGTGGGATGAAGACAGTGTCACTAAATTTTACCCTCGAGACGAAAAAATGCAAAAACAAATTAAACAGGATTTCAAATCACTCATTAAATGGATCGCTTCAATCAAGGCACCAGTTTATAAAGAAAATATGAAATTCTACGATGTCCAATTTGAGACATCTGGACATGATTCGAAATTACATGTAAAGCATACTGACACAGAAGAAATGGTCGAATTTCCCGTCGGAGACGTAGCTAAGCACATGATAGTCTTTGCCAAGATGCTTGCTCGTCAGACAGATGACCCAAAAACAGGAGTTGGGGCAATTCTTATGGACAAATTAAAGAAGGAAATCGTGGGTTTGGGATGGAATGGATTTCCATCGAAAGCTTTGTATGCAGAATTCCCACGCGCCTCGGATAAAGATGCCTCGGATAAAGATACCTCGGATAAAGATACCTCGGATAAAGATACCTCGGATACCAGTACAAGAGAAAAAAAGTACCCTTTTGTAATCCACGCCGAACAAAATGCTTTGATGGTGAGAAATGAAAAGGACTTGAAAGATGGAATCCTCTTTGTCACGAAATGCCCTTGCAATGAATGTGCACCTTTGGTTAAACTAAGTGGTGTAGAAACGATAGTCGTAGGGGAGCACCTTGAAGATCGAAAAGAGGGCGACTCTGCACTGAATTACGATAAAGTGAGAAAGTACGTCAAGGATGGAGAACTCCAATGCATCGAAATGAGAAAAGGTGATGCTAGTGAATAAACAAGGAGTAAAGGTTTCTTTGGACACTGTACCACATGCAATGCAAATAGTAGGGTTTCAGCTGCTTGATTTCAGGATTTGAAATAAGGTTAGAATACAGTAAAACCTGTCAGACCGAAATTTTAGTTTCAAGCATCCTTCACATAAAAACCCTCAGCCTTACATTTCAAAGTATAGGTCCTTTAATTTTTCTAAATATAAAATTAGTCTGTTTAATTTCCTTGTAAACAATGAAATATAGCATATTCTATACTTCAGTAGAGCATTTAGTGAAATAAGAATATAAGGATATTAAGTTTTGCTTTCATGAATTGATTCAGTGATATCTGCTACAGTACTTACCCGCTTATAAGAACTCATTTATGCAGATTTAGCCTAAACGGGTTCTTATGTAAATAGTGCCTAGTGGAATTGCAGGCTAAATAGGTTTTTAGTAGGTTCTTATTTATCCCTTATGTAATGAAAATTTACAAGGTTTTGAAATATTTTTTATACCAAATTTAGAAGTGTATACATGCACGTTCAAGTTCACTACAGTTTGAGATGAAGAATTCTTTGGGTAATTAATTTCTATAAGAACCTATCTATAAGAGGCCTTTTTGAAATATAATAGGTTCTTATGTTTAAATGGAGTCTATTTTGATATTTTTAGGCTAACAGGTTCTTAAATTGCAGGTTCTAATAAGAGAGTAATAATTACTGTATTAGATACAATTAGTCCAGAAAATAAAACTATTATTTGCTATTTCTTTAATTATGTTTCACGGTACAGGTGCGTTGACTCTTTGCTGAGAATAGTTACTACATAACACGTACCTTCCATGCTTAGGCCTGGGCTGCACCACTGAATAAATGTTGTCCATTTAATCTGATTAAAAATTTAGGTTTAGATACAGCGTGTTTTTAATTTCAACAAACGCATATGATCATATGAGTAGATTGAACTTCATAAGCTTCTCCGACTATGAAAAGAAATAGTCTTTTCGTCAAACGGTTTTATAGAAATTATATGAGCTGATTAGCGCTTTTGTGACACTAAGCATCTTTGAACGCTAAAAAAATCTAGAGTACCACATCTATTTTGTGCTAATCAAAGTTGTAAATTGTTTAATTAGTATCAAAAATTGTAAATGATTTTCTTTTTGAAACAATAAATAATTAAAAAAAACCTTTGAAGGCTGAATGTCTTGTAGAATATTGCATGAAAAAAACCCCTCAAATCTTCGAATTTTGGTTAAAATGTTTGTGCATAGGCAAAAACAGGCAAAATAATGATTTTCACTCTGTACATTTAGATGTGACCAGTATGGCTAAAACAATAGTTACACAAAAGATTGTACCTGTCATTTGTAACAAATGCACAAAAACCGCCTCCAACAAATTAAAAGGCTTCCTAACCATTTCCTCTACAAACTATATAGTTTATGATCAAACATAGAACTACGTCAGAAATGATCAAAACTAATCAAGAGAAACATTCTGCCACTTTTTTAGCGTCATTTTCATTGTCAATAAGCAGGGGCGGATTTAGGATTTTTGAAAAGAGGGGGCCGGATGTGTCTTGTGTCCAATTGAGCGCCGGGAAATTTTGAAATTTGAGACCGTCAGAGATGCGATTTCCAGCATTTTCATCGGTAAAGGGGGGGCCGCGGCCCCCTCGGCCCCCCCTAAATCCGCCCCTGATAAGGGTACAGACGATGAAGAAAAGCGCCTGCATGCGGCTCTAAAAAAACTATACAGCTTTTTATGTTCCAGTGACGTTAGATAATGACGTCATAGGATGACTTCATGCAAACATTCTTCAAATTAAAATTTGATTAAAATTATGACCTTGGATTGCATGTGGCAAAAGAACAACACATTTAACGACTCGATGCTTTTTAACACCGATTTTGCATTAGCTCGCTCACCATATCAAGACTGACTGACAGTCAAATTTTAAGTTAGTCTAATTCGACTTTTTTTGTTTATTGTTTTGCTTTTTGTTTGCTGCTTAATTGAAAACTGAGATGTAAACTCGTTATAAACCAGTTATATGAGATACAATTAGCTTTATCGAGCTTTTTGCGATTAAAGTACGGCTATTTCGGACGTCTCGCTCTATTTTATGACATATTTGTCATTATATTATTATTTTATTCTTGTGTAATTTGTCTTTTCGTTAAGACTGTCTGAGGCTGTCACTC